GGTATACAGAATCCCAATGATGAATGTAATTGTATTGTATACCTAGATTGTACCAATAACCTCAATGAAAAGAAAAAAAAAAAACACCTTAGAGCCAAGATGGCAGAGTAGAAACAGGCAGTAGTTTATAGCTTCTTCATGACTTGCAATCATGACAGCTAAAAACCAGTTATTCAGCAAGGTAAATGAAATTCAATATTGCAAGACAGAAATTTGATGATGAATGTAATTGTATTGTATACCTAGATTGTACCAATAACCTCAATGAAAAGAAAAAAAAAAAACACCTTAGAGCCAAGATGGCAGAGTAGAAACAGGCAGTAGTTTATAGCTTCTTCATGACTTGCAATCATGACAGCTAAAAACCAGTTATTCAGCAAGGTAAATGAAATTCAATATTGCAAGACAGAAATTTGAGGAAAAGATTTAGATTTCAGTTATCATAATAGAGGGCAAGAAGGAGCATCTTGCTCTGCCCGGGCCAATGACAACAGCATGCTATCACAGCATGGGAAGGAGTGGGGATGTAAAGATAAAAAGAATCATAGACAAAAAATTAGGAGAGCCAGAGAGGGAAGAAAGTCTGAATTTCACTTATCTGGAAGCTACATATCAGGTGGGTACTTGAGAAGTATTTGACATTTTTCAGTATGTAAGTGTGGAACCATGGTAGGGAGCTAGCTGTCTTGTCTCCTCTTAACTTCAGCTTCCTGCTTAGGGAAATAAGCCCCCAGCTTTCTTTTCCCTTGAATCCACAACAAATATTGCCTCACTGTTCCAGCTAGTCAGCCTTCTGGCTAAATATGGTTCCAGTGGAATGCTGCTGATGTGGGCCCACTGAAAAATATATACAGTGAGATTCCAGTGGGTACCATAAGAAAGAGAGGAGCTCCCTAGCCCTTTGTGACTGGCCACTCTGGTGGCTGGTGGGACAGGGCCTGAACCCAAAGAAACAGGTGTGAGTGCGCCTAAGGACTGAGTCAGGCAGACTGAGCCACTGTAGTGAACTGCACAGAACCTGCCATGGCCTCCCACATAAGGCAGTTGGTAGTCTGTCCCCCACTGCTTAAGATTGTAGAGGAAGCTGGAAGCTCAAGTGGAGCTCAGCAGCAGCCCTCTGCCCCTGGAAGTTCACAGAACTAATCTTTCTGAAGGGAACTCAGCCAAGGTAGTGTCCTCCTCCATGTAACCAACCTTGCGCATGATAAGCAGGGAAGCTGAGAATCACTGCAACCCACACAGGCCTCCAAACCCCTTCAGCTAGCAGCCAGGCAAAAGAGGACGAAGATGCAATTGATCCACAGCCTCACTCCCCCTAAGGGCTGCACAGTCCAAGAAAACATGGACTGAAGTACAAAGTGACTCAATGAAAATTCTACCCTGGCCACACAGTCATCCATCGCAGCAGAAACACTTTCATTTTTTATTAA